CACCTGCACCTACCCATGCTGGCTTCTCCAACATGTTGGTGTAAAAGTACTCAGACTTCTTACATGGAGTCTCAGCAATCGCAGAGGCAGTTCGGCAAGAGGTCATGTGGCACCTACGAGACCTCTTATGACCTTGCCTGAGAATCCCCAGAACGTCACTTTCACTACATTCTATTGGTCAAGCAAGTCACTGAGGCCAGCTCAGATTCAAAAGGAGGGAAATTAGAATTTACCCCTTAACGGAAAAAATGGTAAAGCATTTGTTTGGTTTGTCTCTTAAATCTCTTAATCTATAGCCACACACACCCACCGTTTTGTTTTCTTTGTGACTAGTTTGTTGAAGAAAACTGAATCTTTGCCTTGTCAACTTTCCCACATTCTGGATCTGGTTAGTTGCCTCCGTCTCCATGGTGTCATTTATCATGTTCCTGTGGGCTGCGTGTTTCCTGAAAATGGGGAGTCCCTGCAGAAGCTTGATCAGCTTAGTATTCTTCTTTTTGCTAATATGAACATAAATATAAATACATATACAAGGAGGACCCAAAAAACTGGAATTCATTAGAAATTGTGTGTTTTTCTTACATGTTTAAGCTTCAATCACCTTCAAAGTACTCTCCATTTGATGCAATATACCTAACAAGATGCTTTTTCCAATGCTCAGAACAGTTGTTGAGCTCTCAATTTTGATGTTTTTTAGTGTTTCTGCTGTTTTTGTTTCACCTCTTTCACATTGGCAAAATGTTTCCCTTTGAGAACTTTTTTCATCCAGGGAAACAAAAAGACAGTTGCTTGGGGCAAGATCAGGTGACTAATAGGGAGGATGGGGCATAGGGTGGTGCTGTTTTTGATCAAAAACTGCTGAACACTCAGCGTTGTGTAGGCAGATGTGCTCATAAATCTCCCATTATGAAATGGGCAAACACGTTGAAAAAATCACCAAAAAAAATTCACACAGCCTCTCACAATAATGCTAGCTGATACGCTGATGTCAGTGGGTCCCTTGAACACTTACCTAGTGGGAGAAGCCTGTACTACAAGGGGCCCACCTTCCAAAAAATAATTCTAGTTGTTTCTGGGTCCCACCTTGTACAAGCTATAATATGTATAATAGTCTTGGAATAACAATGCCAATATCCTTATTCTTACTAACGATATCATTATTATAAACAATTTGACTTTTTTCTTTCCTCTTCTTTATCCTCAAAACATCCCAGTAGGAATGAGTAATCCAATTACTATTTATAAAAGTTTAAAATTCACTTTTTAAAATCCTCTCTGATTATTCCACCAATTCATTGCACAATTAGATTGATTTGTTTAGCTTTGCTTTTTTAAAATGTATTTTATAGACCTTTAATTTTGATTTATATTTTAAAAATTTACATGGTTTCAAAGTCAGAATGATGCCACAAGGCATATTCAGGGAGGGCTAACTTCTATCATGGTCCCCTCTGCTGTTTTCTCCCCATCTTCCACAGCTAAACATTGTTGTTTTGTTTAGTTTGTGTTCAGGCTTATAATTTGTTTGCTAATTTGTATTTTTATTATACACACTTTCCTCTAACTTTTTTTTTTTTTGCTTAACAATGATATGTCTTTATTCATTTTTTGTGTAATGTTCCCTTGAGTGGATCTACCATAGTCCTGTTTTGATCAACTTACTTAGTGGGTTTCCAGACCTTTTGTATACAGAAGTGCTGCAATATATAGCTTCAATGTAAAATTAAGATATACTAACTCTTGATTTGATGCTTCTTTTATAATATTGGTATAGTTATGAAAAAAGTCATATACAAATTTGTATTTTATTCCTTTTTTATTTACTTAACATTTATTGAGCACAGACTATATCAGTAAGTAGGAATGATTTTGAAGGAACAGAGAGGTGCATAAAGTAGGGTACTACATTCAAGGAATTAATGATCTAGTAGACAATGCAGACTTATATTTAATAGAATATAAGGCCTTGTAAAATAGGTGTGAATGAATCACTGTGGGTTCCATAGAAAGAAAAATGTACTCAGAGCAAGGAAATTGAGAAGGCAGCATAGATGATATGGCGTTTGAGTACAGCTTAAGAGGAAAAGAATTATCCAAAGTACACAAAGACAATATAAATAAGACATATAGGACACATACAGACTTAGCTATAATATTTGTGTTTTGTTTGTTTGTTTTTTGAGTTAGAGTCTCACTCTCGTCACCCAGGCTGGAGTGCATGGAGTGCAGTGGCACACTCATGGCCCCAGCAGCTTGGACCTTCTGGGCTTAGGCGATCCTTCCGTCTCAGCCTTCCAAGTAGCTGGAACTACAGACACACACCACCACACCTGACTAGCTTTTTTGGTGATTTATTGTAGAGATGAGATCTCACCAAGTTGCCAGGCTGGTCTCAAACCTCTGGGCTCAAGCAATCCTCTCTCCTTGGCCTCCCAAAGTGCTGGGATTATAGGATGAGCCACCGCACCTGGTCAATATTTTTTCTAACTAGGATATTTGAATTTTTTACAAAGAGACATAAATTACTTGTTTACATGTATTAGTCATGTGTTACTAATTTATATCTATTGCATGTTTGGTTAAAATGTTAATTTTTCATATGAGTATAAATGGCATTTTCAGTAAATAAAAAGTACTTCTGTGTTCTGGATTTGAGTAGGGAAATAGTGGGAGACAATGCTAACTGAACTGGGATTATTAAAGATACTGAATGCCAAGCCAAGAGACAATGTATAACCAATGCTAAACTTTGTAGTTTATCTCTGTCTTTCTGTATCTCTTGAGATATATTGTGTTTGGTTTATGCCAAAGGAAAATAAGACCTGGACTTAAGTTTTGGGTCTACCTCTAAAAATGTATCTCATTTATTTATTTATTTTATACTACTTTCTTTTGGAAGGAATTTTAGGCCACTTATAAAGGTACATGAGATGCAATAAGATAACACAAATCAAAAGGAGGATTATAACCCAACGCCCAAATATTGGTTCTTAATGCCATTCTCTAATAAAAGAACCAGAGCTTCTCGAAGGACTGATAAGATTCTAGGACTGATAAGGAGAATATATAAGATGAGCCTGAAGTATCTTATAGTTCCAGAAAGGAAGGATATGCTCAAAACACAAAGCAATGAAGGTATATGTCAAAGGGATACAGAAGCCAACAGAAAGAGTTCCCAATGACGAAAGCTTGGACAATTTGATCGATAAAGTAAATAATAGGTTATTGAATCATAAGCCAAGAATAAAAATAAATATTCATTTTCCCATATCAATATAAACAAATAGTTTAATAAATAAATGAGAAAGAATGGACCATCTCCCATGCAAAAGAATTTTAAATAATTTATGTGAATACTCTGCTCTGAAGGAGATGAAGCATAATTCCCCATCCCTTAAATATGCGCTGTGCATGGTGCCTTCCTTCCAAAGAGTATAGTACAGAAAGGGGAGGAGGAGGGAAGAGAGACTTTACAGCAAATAAATCTGACAGGCATCACTCAGTCATATGAGCAAGTTAATGTTAATAGTGATGTTATGTTGATAGTATATACCCTTGATAGGATATGATGAGAATGGCATTTTATTTCTGTGATCTTTCCAGAAACTTATTACTCCCATCTAATCATGAGAAATCATGATTAATCCTAGACAAATCCCAGCTGAGGGACATTCTACAAAACACCTGACCAATCCTCCTCAACCCTACCAAGGTCATCAAAAACAAGGAAAGTCTGAGAAACTATCACAGCAAAGAGGAGCCTAAGAAGATGATTTAGTCATTACTAAATGCATTGTAATTACATAGTTGTGACAAATGTAACCATAGTAATGTAAGATATTAACAATAGGGAAACTGGTGCAGGGCCTATGGGAACTCTGTATTATATTTGCAATTTTTTATAAATGTAAGATCATTCTAAAATAAACATTTTATTTAAAAAGAAAAAATGGTAGAAGTTCATTAAAAAATTTAAACAGGCCGGGCTCGGTGGCTCAGCCTGTAATCCCGCGCCTTTGGGAGGCTGAGGTGAGTGGATTGCCTGAGCCCGCGGGTTCGAGACCCACCTGGGCAGCGAGACCTCATCTCTACAATAAATCAAAAAATCAGCCGGGCATGGTAGCACATGCCTGTAATTCCAGTTACTCGGAAGGCTGAGGCGGAAGGATCGCTGGAGCCCAGCAGGTCGAGGCTGCGGTGGCTGGGAGCAGCCACTGCACTCCAGTCTGGGCGACAGAGTGAGACTCCAACTCAAAAAAAAAAAAAATATTTAAACAGGGCCGCCGCCACCGCGCCGCCTCCGAGGCAACCATTACATATCTCTCCGCCTGTGCACGAGACCAACCACCGCCGCTGCTGCTGCCGCCACCAGCCAAAGCAGCCATTCCACGTCGGACCTTCAGTGCCTGAGGTGAGCCACAGCCGCCACCACCAAGGCAGCCAATACACATCACATAGCCTGTGCCTGAGGTGATCCACAACTTCAGACTTCAGACCTTGAAGCCCCTGCAAACAAGATCTGCTGAGGTCTACTACCACTGGTCATGATGCCAGGCCGTGGGTCTCCTCCTATGTGCCTCCAGGCAACATTTCCCTCCCCTTAGGGGCGGGCGAGCAGCTGTGATAAAGACCATCTGGAGGGAGGGATAACACCACCTGCTGGTGATTCAAGGTAACAACACCGAAAGGGGAAAAATGGAAGCCTGACACACAGGTCAGATCTGAGTAGTGATCAGGACAGTGGTGAACTGAGTGATGATCTGAACTGCCCTTCACAGCAGGCCAGGGGCAACTGATCCTAACTGAACAAACTTACCAGCTTAAAAAGAAAGCTAGAGAAAAAGCTAAAAGGTAGATGGCGATGGGGCAGCCTGGTCTATGAAACCCTCTGCAAAGGAGAACGCAGAGGGTCTCTGGCTCTCTCCCCGGGGGCTGCGGACCCCAATGTCAGCAGCCTGCTCTTCACATGGAGCTCAGTGTCACCACCGCTAGGGCATCACAGTGGTCTGGACAGCCACTGCAGCTGCAGACACAGCAGCCGCCGGCCCCGCCGCGGCCTCCATGGCGGCCATAGCGCATTGCACCACCTGTGCCTGAGGCGATTCACGACTTCAGTCCTTGAAGCCCCTGCAGGCAAGATCTGCTGGGATCGCTGCCACCTCTGCTGCCACCTTGACTTCTGCCAGCTGTGGGTATCCTCCCATGTGCCCTGAGGCAGGCTTCCATCACCTGGCTCCTGTCTGGCCCCAAGCCCTCTGGGGTGAGCAGCTGAGATAGCACCACCTGCTGGTGATTCAAGGTAACAACACCAAAATGGGAGAAACAAGCTTGAAAAAGAGACGGGCCAGATTTGAGTGGTGAACGGAGGGTGATCAGAACTGTCCTTCACAGCAGGCCAGGGGTAACTGACCCTAACTGCGAACTAATTTACCAGCCTGAAAAGACAGCTAGAAATCAGAGCTGAAAGGACATTGGACTTAAACAAAAAGTCTCAGGGTGTGCTCGATTGGTTCTGTTAGTTTAATGACTTGATTCTATTTCTATTGTTTTGTTCCTTTTTTCTCTTCCTTTTCTTCTCTTTTCTCCTCTCTGTAAACCATATCTTTGTATAGAGGAACAGCACACCAATAAGGTGGTTGGTTAGCTTGTATGTTAGCATCATTGTATGCTTTATTTTTTTATATGGGAACTGGTTAGTCTGTAGCCATGGTCTATTGTTTTTATCTGTTTCAGTTTAGGTCTCTCTCTCCATTTGTTGATACACTCATCTGTTTCCCCCCTTACTCCTCTCTCTCTCCACCCTCCTCTTCCCCCCACTGTCTGCTCCATTCTCTTCCCTCTGCTAACCATATTTTATTTCAGGGAGTAAACCTACAGCCTCACTGCATGGACAGATTCCAAGGCACTGGGAAGTGGGTTTCAGATTATCCATACACCTCTCAGTGAATACCAGGACCTGCAGAAAGATTTTGAATCACAGCTCCCCCCTTAAGTAAATCTCAAAACTACAAAAAGGACCATCACCAACCTACAGTGCAACTCCAGAATTGAACAAAGAGGGCATAAATAAAGAATATGAGATTGAACAAACAGAAGTAAAAGCAATCCCTCTACCCCTGTATAACAGAATTAAAGAACACGGTGACATGGAGGGAAGGAAAAAGTAGGGAGGGGGAAAAACACCCACAAATGAAGAAAAACCAAAAGAAGAATATAAGTCTCACACAGACCTCTGGGAAATCAGACACTGAGAAAACAGATTCTGGAACACAAACAATGAAGAGCCCTCAGAATGACTGGTCACATGCAACAAACCCAGACATCAAGACATTAATAGAGAGAATATAAAAAATTGAGGAGAGACAAGAGGAAAATAGGAAGGAGCTGATGTCAGAAATAACAGCAGTAAAGAATACTGTGATGGAAATAAATAACAAACTAATAAGCATGGAAAGCAGAATTAGCCAAGCAGAAGAAAGAATCTCAGAGCTCAAAGACCAAAACACAGAACTAACCAAAACTGTCAAGGCATAGAAAAGAAGCTCAAAAAGACAGAACAAAACCTTCAAGAGATGAATGATCATTTCAAGAGACCAAACCTAAGCATAACTGGCCTTCCTGAGGCAGAGAGAGAAACAGAGGCCACACTGGAACAAACATTTCGTGAAATCATTCAAGAAAACTTCCCTCATCTCATCAAGGATGAAAAAATTCAAACAAAAGAGATTCAGAGAACCACTGCAAGACAACAAATGAGAAGACGAACTCCCAGACATATAATAATTTGCCTAAACAAAGTAGGTATAAAAGAAAAAACCCTAAAGGATGCAAGAGAAAAAGGTCAGACTACCTACCAGGGAAGACCAATTAGAATAGCAGCATATTTATCTATAGAAACCCTCTAGGCTAGGAGAGCCTGGAGCCCTATCTTCAAAATTCTAAAAGATAAACAATTTCAACTGAGAATAGCCTACCCAGCCAAGCTAAGCTTCATCAGTGAGGGAGAATTGAAATCTTTCCCAGATATCCAGTCCCTAAGAACCTACACCTCTACAAAAAACACTTAAGAAAGTATTGAACACAGAAGAAAAGGAAAAAAGAACAACAATGTTCTTCACAAAGGTACAGGCAAAAGATTAAAAACACACATGATCCAACTCTAAAACCAAAAGAAAGACAACACACAAACAGGAAGAACAACAACTCTGTAAGAACATTATGATAGGGATCAACTCACACATTTCAATTATTAGTTTGAATGTGAATGGTCTAAATGCACCACTGAAAAGACATAGAATGGCAAAATGGATAAAATATCACCAGGCAACAATCTATTGCCTTCAAGAGACTCACCTCACTAGAAAGGACACTCACAGACTCAAAGTAAGAGGATGGTAAACAAATTTTCAGGCAAATGGAGCACAAAAGAAAGGAGGAGTCGCAATTTTAATCTCAGAAAAAATACCCTTTAAGCTATCAGAAACTTAAAAAGATACAGAAGGTCACTACATAATGATAAAAGGTTCAATCTATCAACAAGAAATATCCATCCTAAACATCTATGCACCCAACATAGGAGCACCGACTTTCACAAAGCAGCTCCTAGGTAAACTAAAAAAAGACATTGACTCCAATACCATCATAGCTGGAGACTTTAATACCCCACTCACAACCCTAGACAGATCATCAGGACAAAAAATCAGCAATGAAATCCAGAACATCAATGTGACTCCTGATCAAATGGACTTAATTGATACCTACAGAACCCTCCATCCAAAGACCACAGAATACACATTCCACTCATCACCGCATGGAATGTACTCTAAGATCAACCACATACTTGACCATAAATCAAGCATAAGCAAATTTAAAAGGACTGAAATTTTACCATGCACCTTCTCGGGCCACAGTGGAATAAAAATAAACATTAACACCAACAAGGTCCCCCCCAAACCCACAAAGCCATTGACACTAAACAGCATGATGTTAAACAACTCCTGGGTCAATGATGATATCAAAACAGAGATTAAAAGATACCCGGAAACAAATGAAAATGAAGAAACATCTTACCAAAATCTCTGGGATGCCATGAAAGCTGTAGTAAGAGGGGAATTTATGTCCCTACAAATGCACATGAAGAAAATGGAAGGATCACAAATTAACAGCCTAACAAGCCACCTAAGGAAGCTGGAAAAGGAAGACCACAAAAACCCTAATTTCAGCAGAAGAATCCAGATCACCAAATAAAAGCCCAAATCCAGGACATAGAACACAAAAAGATAATACAAAAAAATCAGTGAAACAAAAAGCTGGTTCATCAAAAGGATAAACAAGATCAATGGTCTCCTAGCTAGAATGACCAAGAAAAAGCCCAAATAAACACAATCAGAAACACAAAAGATGAAGTCACATCTGATG